TTGCATGTCAATCTTGATCTTCGTCTTAGCTTCTGAATTTAATGTTTTGACTTTTCTTTTGATTTGGTCAACAATGTGAGTATCAGACATTGTTTTCGTTTGGAGTGTCTTTCAATCTGTGTTATCCTTTGTCTTAAGCATTGTTGACTTTCTTCTTATCTTTGTCTCATGCTTGGTTCATTTCTTCATGTCGCACTGGAGGTTGTTCTTGACACACATCCATCTTAACTGTTCTTTTAACAGAGTTGACCATCTGGTTTCATCTGATGTTCGATACAACTTTTCTTGTTCCAGTTTTGGTCTTGTTTTGGCTTTTCCTATGATCCACCAACGTCTCTTACTTGTAGTAGGCCTCGTCTAGTGTTTGTTGAATGTTCTTCAGTTCGTGATCAGATCTAAATTTGATGACTTATGCGTTCTTCTGAGAGTGTGGATGCTAGGTAGGTCTTCTCGTTGTGACTTCGGACGCAATCCAGCATTCTTGGTTTTTGTCTGTGTATTTGAGTCTCCGTCTGGTTAGCTGTGGAAGCTCTTGACTCCATCTAGGATGCTTTGACTTAGTTTTGTCCATCGTCCATGGTCTTGTATCATCTGATGCTTCATTATTTTCCTTCTTGTGTTGGGCTTGATTTTGTTTGATCATTTGATCTCCTCATCTATCGTTTTGTTAGCTTTTGCCCTTCATCTTGGTTGCACGTGTCATGTTCTTTATTTCTTTGTGTCTGTGTTTGTGGGTGTCTTTGTCTGATATATTCCCTTCATTTGATCAACCTTTATCTAGTGCTTAGCTCATATCTCTTGGTTCTGGTGTAGACGGTAATACATGTATATTCTTTGTTCTTCAGCTAGCTTGTCTGTACTTATGTCTTTTATCTAAAACACTATCACCCTTGTTAGAAATAACAATATGCATTATATTTGTCTCATTCAAAACCTTACTAGGAATTGCTTCATCTGACTTAACAATCTCCCCCTTTTTGATGATGACAAATATAATTGATCAAAAGGTTTCAGATAAACTAATTTAGAGAGTGTTTGTATGGTATGGTAAGTTCATTGTATTTCTCCCCCTTAGTATATGTTCTCCCCCTTACTAGATTGTCTCTTAGTCGCGTCTGATTGTTTTTGATTTAGATAGTTGATTTGATTAATTCTTTTCTATTTCTCTCCCTTTGTAATCATCAAAAAGAAATTGATACCAGGGAGCATAATCAAGACAGAGCGATAGTCTTTTAATGAAACCTATATTCCAAAGTAGGTAATATGATAATTAATACTTCATGCAAGATTGTTTATCATGACTTTGATCAACCTAGATATCAAAACATAAATCGAAGCATTTCATTTATCAAGATGATAACTCTAAATGAAGCAAATATACTTAGTTAGATTAGATTGAGTTGAACTGTAGACGTACACTAGAAAAAAAATGTGTACGACAAGTGAATCACACTATCACTTTTCTCATTTTTAGTCATCAAGATAGATGAGTTTCTAAGTGTATCCAAACATCAGAAAGATTTATGCAGTAAGCGAGATGCTTAGGGAGTAAGAAAATTTGTAATCATGAGCAGAATAATTTATTCATCAAATGAAAGTTCTAAGGACGAATGTATTTATCTGAAAATTTTCTCTTTTCAATAAACTTATTTATCACCATCAAAAAAAGGAGAGAATATTAGATAAAAAAATCTTGGATCCCGTAGAATATGAGTTTTAATCATAGCAAACATAGACGTTTTTCTAAGAGAATTTTTTTTTTCTTCTAGATTATACTGTGAGATGAATTGTGATAAAATGATTAGTTATATTGACATTAAGTCTTTCAAATGAACTACTTTATCTATAAGGCAAAAGTATTTAATATATATCATTTATGATGTTTGTTAACCAAATATTATTTGTCTATGTTACTCTTTAACAAATTGAAAGGAATAAAAAGCCTATTTAGTGTTCGCACTACTAAACAGAATAAATAGTTTTCTTGATCAAATAAGAAGTGACAATTTGATGAAAAACATTCAATGCACCAACATATACTTCTCTTTACAAGGAATGAAGATGAAAACAGATGAAGCAAGCCCATGAGAGACACTCAAGGATTTGCAACGGTTATCTTCATGGAACACCTATAAAAGGAAGCTTGAAGATTCAGAAAAAGTTAGAGATCATCAATTGTAAAAAATTTATACTCATTCATTCTATAAAAGATGTGCACTTAATTTGGTTGTATCACACCTTGATAATAAGATGAAACAACAAAATTATTTCCTAATTTTAACTTTGTGTTATTACTTTGAGTCTGAAGAGACTTGATTGTAAAAAAGAATACTTCAGTAGTTGCTTAAAAAGGAAAATCAAGAAAACTTATGTTGAGATAGAAGTGACTTGTGAAAAAATACTTGTATCTTTGTAAGAGATAGTGAAACTTTAGCAGATTGATTAAGAATTAGGTGTAGTCTTAGTTGTTGAAATAAATCCATATAAAACATTATGTGGTCTTCTCTCTTAAATCTTCATTTGCACTCGTTAGACTTTACAACTACTTCACTATCTCAAAAAAGTGTTAAGTTTTTTATTAAAACTATTCAATACTCCATTTCTAGTGTCTTGCTTTTTCTCCACTATACTAATTATTATTTAATTTATAAAGTCTACAAAAACTTAATATTATCAAAATGTTATAAAATGTCATTTTGGTAACATTTTTAAAAATGTTGTCATTAGTTTGTAAAATATTGTTAAAAGTCTTTAATAACATATATTTTATCTTATATTAAATAAAATATTGTAAAAATATATTAATAACATTTATTCATAATTTACTAACATTTTATGTTTTGTTGTAAGGAAACACCCCATGTTCTTTGGAGTAATTTAGGGATCCACGGCCAAAAAATAGAATCCCTTTCTTGGCATCAATGGTCTAATTATTTAAAAATGTATGAGCATTAGTGACCATTCAGCTAACTTTTTTTCCCCAAAACAACATTTTAAACAATTCAAAGAGTAAATTCAAATATTATTCTAATAGGTTAGAAAGCATGAAAACGACACAGAACACAAATACAATATGAGACATAGAGATATGATAAATTTTAGAAAATATATAACGCATGACTATAGCATATCATAATAAAATTTATCTAAATTTAATATTCAATATAAATTTTAAATAATAAAAGAATTCATATGCTAAAATTTATGTAATTAATGTGATATTTCATTTGGTATTGGCATAAACGTGAAAAAAAAAATCATCATAAAATTGAAAGAAAAAAAAAATAAATGCAACAAAAGTATTTGTCAATTTTTAAAAAATGGACCAGGGGTTGAACTATTGAAGATAATGTTCAAAATTCTAACCATGGTTGGATCCATAATAATTATATAATGTTTTTAATTTTTAATACAATATATTAATTAGCAAAGTTAAACAAAAAAAAAAACATAATATTTAAAATTAAAATTCACTTCTAAATGTGATCACTCAACATATAATTCATGACATACAATATTTAAAATTAAAAAAAAAATCAAATAAACTCCTTCTGGTCATTTATATATAAAAATAGATACTATTTTTTTTCTTAATTATAATTAAGATACACTTACTTTAAGATATATTAATTATTAAATTTTTTTTATATCTTTATTGAAATCTATTAATAAAACACCCTATCCGTCATGTAATATAGATCTATTTATTAATTTATTAACAATGTAAATGATTTAATTTTAGTGATGAAAAAAAGTTATCTTTTAAATTAAGTATAAGATATATTATGAATAACGAATAGTACCTTTACTATACATAAAACCTTTTTTAAATTTATTGTTTTCCCCTTTTTATAAGACTATCATTTTCTAATTGCCAGTTGTATTAATAATTTTTTAAAATACCTTTATTTAATTAATAATTTTTTAAAACAAAAATAATAAATACTTGAAATTAATTAGATAAAAGTTTTCTCTCTCTTATAAGAGTTGTAGAAGATATGTAAATACATAGACGCTCCTCTCATCTAATTTGACATTATTCACATTTTAAATATTAATTAATTAGGTAAGAAATAATTAAGTATAAAGAGAATGTTAATTTAAGATATATTAAGAGTAATTTTGAACTAGTTTAAATTATTGATAAATTTAATATTATTAAATAAATTAACTAATTTTTTAAATGGTATAATTTAATTGAGGACATTATAATTAACGACGAAGTTAATGATAATAATTTCTATTAGAAATTACAATTAGAAACTAATTACATATAATTAATATAATTATCTATCATAATATTAAGTTGAACTATATCAGTCACCATTATATTAAGTTTTTTTTAGAACTATATTAAGTTTTTTTTTAATTAAAATAAAATAAAAAGTTTTTTACCAAATTAACTGATCTTGGGTTGGTTTCCCAATTTAAGGCTGGTTAAACTAGATTTATACAGGTTCTTTGCAAAATCAGTTGTTAGGATTGAATGAACCGGTTTAGTGACTAATTTTTTATTTAACTGGTTTGATCGGCCAATTCGGTTTCATCTTGAGAACACTGGTATTTTGTAGTGTCCATGCTAATTAAGACCCAATACGACTATTGTTTAGAAGTGTTGGTGATTTAGACATGTGGCTCTCACTTAGATAGAGGAGGCACCAAATTACTAATAGATATATTAGCATAATGCATATAACTCATACCAAACTGTTTTAATCAGTTTTTCTAGCAAGATGATCTTACGGTCCAAGATGATCTTAAAATTTTCAATTTACATCCTCACAATGATGTAACAATCCTGATCTTTACATTTGTCTTAGGGTATGAAGGAGGAGATTTTATGATGATGGTAAACAAATTTAGGTACTGTTGTAAATGAGTTTATAGTATCCTTGTACCAGATTAATAAATTTCTTTTGCTGTTAAAAAAAATATTCCAAAACTCCATTCCAAACTTTAGTGATACAGATTCAATCAATTATCAATTGTCCAGTGTAATCTTAATGCATAAATAAGTGGGGGTTTAATTCATTTGGCACTTGGTTGATGACTTTATATCAACTTTATAATATAAAGTTTTGTTCTGAGCTTGATAAAACAATTGGTGAATGACTTTCGAATGTGCTAGACAATGGCTTCAAAATTCGATGTTTCAAACTTCGACCTCTCAAAATGCAAGACATTATTAGTTTCAAGAGACTGCAAGACATGGTCAAAATTGTTGACATCATGATTCATCCAACACAAGGGAACGTAACAAATCTAGAGAGAAAGAATGTTGGTTCTGCAACATGGACAATGAGAATTATTTTTCAACCATGGTTTCAAGCATCTGTCATGGAACCTATGAGCACAAGGAAGATGAATTAGTGTCTCTCCAACCCTGAATGATTCCAAGCACACTGCACAATCCTCTTGTTCTGAGGCCTTCATGCTCCACTTGGTCCAACTGAACTTCATTGAACCACTTTTCTTTGTGCCATATACCTCTGTGTGCAACTCTGCTACACTTGTTCCTCTTCCCTCCGCACACTTTGTGCTGTTTTGCCTGCTAAATAAATGATTAGTCATAAATTTCACAAATTCCCAATAGATGAAATATCCCTCTTTGATGTTAGATTCGTCTTCTAGGTGTCATCAACCAACAAGCCCAATTCAAAAATTCAACCTTTTAGTCATGACCCCACAATTCCAAAAACTTAATACAAGAGCTACTTGAGCCTTTAGTGAGGATAATGCTTCTCAGGCTGAAATAAAATTTGTGATACTATGACATAAACCAACAATTTCAAAAGCATAGACAATTAGACTAAGACACACAAATATGATCTTTTACATAGTATTAGTTTTCTATACATGGTTAGTTTTTTTTTTTCTTTCATAAGTTATATATCAATAACTTCTAATTGATACTATTTATCTATCCACAATTTCTAATTGATTTAACCGTAAAAAAAACTTAATTTAATACTGACTATGCATATCTATTATCCACGAATATTAACGGTCCAGTAAACTTTAATGGGAAGCGTGTAAACTTTTTAATACTGACTTCAAATTTTATAGACAATTCTTTTTTATAGTCATTCCACAGTTCACTCAAAAAACCAGATCTGAGCAAAAAAATGTTAGGATTTTTTTATACCTTTTGTTTTCTGACATCCTTTGTGATCTGAACTTGTCATCCAATCTCTGTCTGGCTTCTCTGGCTGCACCTACCATATTCTCATCTAGGTGTGTCTGGTATAACGTGCCTCTATGCTGATTTCATTTAAATCCAAAAATAAAAAAATTAATGCAGCCCTTCAACAGTGATGATGAATTGAAAAACATGCATATAAACAGAAAGAAAAGGAGATTCAACTGAGGGTATAGGACACAAACCAGTGAGGAGGATGAAGAAAGACGAGATTCATGGCTGCTTGCATACAAACAGAAAGAAGAGCGCCTTGTGAATATATTATGTGAAGCTAATGAAGTTGAATTTGAATCTAAGCATCCATGAATGCGTCTCTTTCTTGCACATTCAACTCCTGGAAGCACTCCAGCCATTTTGTCTTTGTTTCAATCGTTCACAAATGAGGAACTTGGATGCATTGTCCCTCGTGATGGACTTGTCTATGTATCATGGTTGATTTGTCCTGTCTCTGTTAGTGCTTTGATGACTAATTAATAGAAAGAGAAATGATGATTTGGAAAGCAGACTCTCTGTGTCAAAACCAAAGAAAATAGACATTGGGATGTCACTGTTATTGCCATAATGCCATTGCTTTGTGGAATACGTTAAAGGGCAAAATTAGGCCACAAACCTTGACAGATATTTTGTTCCATTTTCTCTTTTATATTTTTACCTTAAAAGAAGTATTAAAACATTTTTTTAAAAACAGTTCAATACATTTTCATAATAATCATTCTTTTAGAAGAATAATGAGTACAACAGCTCACTAAATAAAGAGCAAAATTTATATCTTCAATTCTATAATAAGTGTCTTTTTAAAATGAGTGTTATGTTAGAAAAATGTTTTTATATATAAGAATGAAGGTAGTAATATGAAAAATTTGCACACATAATAAATATAAAATACAAAATTTAATATTATCTTCATTTCTTTATAATTAATCGTTTAAGTTTATTTTATACAAATCAATAAGTTTAAAGTAAATTTGTTTTTAGTATCTCAAATTTAAAAATGATTTTTTTAGTCATATAATTTCAAAAAATCTAGTTTTAATCTATCAAGTTTCAAATAATATTTAAGACAATGACAAATTGAGATGATTATACAATATTAATGAGTTTAATATAATATTTTTACTAACAAATATATAAATAAGTGAATTTTTTATAAAAATATTTCATAAATTTACTAGCAAAATTTGATTATTAAGATTAAAATAAGATTTTTTTGAAAAGTTTAAAGGATTAAAACGATTCATTTTAAATTGAAGAGACTAAAATTAAATTTATCTTAGATTTAAAGATCGAAAATATATTTAAATTTATTTTTTTATTTTTATATAATGATTTTAACGTTTTTTATTAAATTTTTATTATTATTGTTTTTATAATAAATGCATAAAAAGTAATACAATAATTATTATTGTTTTAAAAAAAATAAAATAAAATAAAATAAAATTTTATTAAAAAGACACAAGTAAAAAAGCAGAGTATTAAATAATAATTTTAATTGTATGTCTTGGAATGCATAGTGACTAATACACTTACCTATCGTATTATAATAAGTCGAAAAGGTATCCCATAAATTTTAACTTCAAAAGTATCGGTTGTTGATCCGTGCAAGGTTGTCCCAACCCAACGCTCAATCAAACATCTCTCAACGGTTGCAATTGGATTTGGAAATCATTAAAAACAATAATATTAAAAACAATAATTTAATATTGGACTAAAAGAAAATTGTCATATAATTTATAATGACATTATATATGTCACTAAAAATTATTTTTACCCACATAAAAATTATAATATATGTTGATATATTATTAAAAAGTATAAGTATAGGCTATAATGACACATAAAATATATTCTTAAATTTCATTCAAAATTAATACTAAAATTGTGTGTAACTATATGTCAAATAGACATATACCTACATATATTATACTTATAGTAATATTTTTTGTATGTCACTATGTAATATTTATTGTAGTACAGAATAATATGTTTTTATTTTTTTATTTTTTTCCCTCTCAACACCATTTAAGTTGGCTGATTGTAAACTACTAAATTTTTTGTTTACTACTCCTTGTATCTCTCATTATATATTTTGTCTAACATTTTAGGTATTTTAAGTATTTTTTATCAAGTTTTAATTTTTTTTAATTCGATTAGTTAAAATCAAATTGGATGAATTTATTTAGAGATCATACAGAATTTTACTCATTTTTTTTCTTCATTTACAGAATTTAAACATTAATTTTTTCTTAAGAAAATTAACAAACTTGTCAGTTGATTGTACTGAATATGCTCATAAGATTTTCAATTAGGTTATAATATTTTTTTCTTATAAATATAGTTAAATTTATTTTTTGTCTTTTAAAAATTCATTGTTTTAGTCATAATAATTTTTTTAAAAAATAATATTTATTATTAGTTATTTTCATTTAACTATATTACATTACATGTTACCCGTTACCTTAGTATGATCAAATTTATCTCACGTTAATTCTAAATAATGTTAGAAACCATTTAAAAAAAGTAAAACTTATAAGGAGTAAAACTAATAAATTTTTTTTGAAGAGTAAAATTTCATTTAGATGTGTTTACAAAGAATAAAAATATATATTACTCTTTTCAATTACATATAGTTTATGTTTTTTTTTTGGAACATAATTACATCTGGTTTAAGAAAATGCTTGTATAATATTTATTTCATCCATTTTATAAGAAAATATTATGTGTACTTTTTTATTTTAATTATAAAAATATAAACTTATTTTTAAATCTATTAATTGCTAAATTCCTTTTTATATTCTTATTTATTGTGAAGTCTATGTTAACAAGGCACTAAAATTATTTCTCAGAGAAGGAGATGTATTCAACCATAAATAACTAGTTATACAACTTATGAGGATCTGGATCAATTGATAAGAGAGTTATTTTAATTTAATCAGAGATCTTGAGTTTTAATGTTGAGTATGTAGTTGTATTAAATATTTTTAAAAAGTTTTGTTGCTTATAATGATTTTATCTAACTCGAAAATGATTTTCCTTAGTAAATGATACATGTGGTCTATATATATATAAACTATACCTACAAGTTGTTAGCTTGAATAATATTTGACTCATTTTGTTAAGTAAAGTCTTGAGTTTAGGTCTTCTAGATGAAAAAAAAAGGGTGATGGATATTAGTCATCAACAAAAATAGTAAATTCTTTATACTAATAATATGGTTATATTTGTGTGTGTGTGAAGCGTATCTAATGAGAACATGTATTGTTACGAGAGATGAGAAGGCTAGATAATAGCGGATAAATTATACATAAAAATAATTAATAGTTGAAATTAAGACTTAATTATAGACATTCACTTATAAGATATTTACTATTGTCGCCTTTGCGACTACCACCCACCATTGTTTCCACCAACACAATCAACATCGACTATAATACCACTTAATCTAATAGATGTTATTTAACACTCTCATCTCTCATAATAAGATATGATTTTATTGGATATGCTCCAATACATATAGGGGGCATTTCAAACGAGAATACCTTTTATAGTGAGAAATGAAGACTATTAGTAATAACTAATAGGTTAAAATAGACAACTCTTATTAGGAAGTTACAAATAATATTATCATGTACCACTACCATCATAGTAATCCCTATAATAGTTGTCATCACAATTATTATCAATACCACCATCATCGTCGTCATTATTGCTACCATCAATCACTGGTGCAAAAATTAGATTTAAAATCGGAGTTTTAAGATTGGTTATAAGGTAACCGATCTTAAAAGTGACGCGGTGACAATTTTGTAAATAATATGAACACTTTTAAGATTGGTTAAAATTTAACCGATCTTAAAAGTACTTTTAAGATCGGTTATTTAAGAACCGATCTTAAAAGTGATGTCTGATACAACTTTTAAGATCAGTTCTTTTGTAACCGATCTTAAAAGTACTTTTAAGATCGGTTAAATTTTAACCGATCTTAAAAGTGCTACTTTTAAAATCGATTATTTAAGAACCGATTTTAAAAGTGCTACTTTTAAAATCGGTTATCTTAGAACCAATTTTGTATGTAGTATACAAAATCGGTTCATAAATAACCGATTTTAAAAGTATCGTCAGAAACCTTTTATATTTCCCTCCATTCTCATTCTCTTTAATCTTCCTTCCATTCAATTTTTTACTCTCTTGCGCTTTCAATTTCTAAAGTCTCCAATAAGGTAAATTTTGTTGTCGTTTTCGTTTTCGTTTTCGTCTTCTCATGCTCTTCTTATGTCTCTTTTCATTTTTTAATGCTCTTCTTTTGTCTCTATTTTCGTTGTAGGTTCATTTTGGGCAAACTACGAAACTGGAACGGGCCGTTCTGCAAGGAGAACGCCCCGTACTCGTTTTTAAAAACTTGGAACGGCCCGTTCCAGTTTTGGAACGGCCCGTTCTAGTTTTGGAACGGCCCGTTCCAGTTTAATTTTTTTTTCGCAGCCCGGACTTTTAAGATCGATTAACCGATCTTAAAAGTTAACTTTTAAAATCGGTTAAATAACCGATTTTAAAAGTCTAACTTTCAAAATCGGCTCTTTTAAAATTGCTTACGGAACCGATTTTAAATGTTAAAAATAACCGATTTTAAAAGCCTTTTTTCCACTAGTGAATAGCGGTGATGATAGAGGTATTAGTGGTAACAATGGTGGCAATGGTAGTGTAGGTAATGATGGTGACAACGACAGTGGCAATATTGGTGGAAACAATGATGGTGACGATGATAATTGTGATGACGATTAAGTGATGAACAATCCAAAAGTTGATGCATCTTGTTGGTATAAGTAATACAAATTAATTCTTTTAAGTCATCTATAATTGTATAATCTCACACTTGTAAAAATCTTTAGATCTCTGTCATTCTAGTGTGTTTGGATTGATACAAGTCCACCACACGTTCATTGCACCACTTTGATTATCTCGAAGTCTTAGAACGTCTCTTATATACCACCTCAATACCATCTTCTTATATAAATTGAGATGTCAGGTAGAGAGTCTTACAATATAAATTTAGTGATGAGTAACGTAGGATATCTTATCTTGTAAAAAAATAAAAACTTAAAGATATTTTCAACCTTAAAGGACTTATAGAAAAGAGCCATAAAATATAAGTGGCAGTACAATCTATATTAATACTAATTATTATTTTATAAAAGTTTACAAAATCTTAGCAACATTATTAAAATTTTGCAAAATACCACTTTAATAACATTTTTAAAAAAATTGTTATTAATATGTAAAATGTTGCAAAAAAAAAAAAAAGTCTTTAATAATATAAATCTTACCTTACATATGATAAAATATCACAAAATATATTAGAAATATTTACTCATAATTTAGTAAATTTTTTTTAATATTGTTAAAGATACATATTATTGTAGTGAAATATCATACTATTTTTATTTACTTATTTAATATACTAATTTTTATTTTTATTTTCAGATATTAATTATAAATATTTTGAAAAATATTTATAATTAATTAAATA